CGTACCAAACTGACTTCATGGGAAATCATGTTACGTCGTCTCAACGACTGGACTGTGCTCACAAGGTGAGAGGGATCTCTATGGACTCCCACCCAAACACCGTTGACGAAGACCTTGGTCGCATTCGGCGAAACTTGAGGCTCGAACTCCTCCAGAACTTCCATATTTCGTTGAATCATGAAATCGATAATCGGTTCGCTTGGCGTACCAACAGTGATGTAGCACATTAGAGCCAAATTCTTAACAAGACCGCAAGCTTGGCCTTCTGGCGTTTCAGCTGGACAGACAAGGCCCCAGTGAGTATTATGAAGTTGTCGAGGTTTAGCAATTTTGCCATCACGACCGATCGGCGTGTTGGTACGACGAAGATGTGAGAGTGTAGAGGCGTAAGTATAGCGATTAAGCACCTGTGAAACACCAGCCTTGGAGCTAGCCGCCTTCTTTTGCTCACCCCAGTTACCTGTGGCAAGTGCATACTTGAGGCCACCAGATAAGGTGCTTGCCTTCACGCCAATGTTCAAGTAGAGTTGCCGATTGGTTTCCACGCATCTCTGGACGTATTTGTAGAGGTCTTTTGTAACTCTCATGAATAGAATTCTGAAAAGGTTGGCGAGCAGCGGGCCAGCTAGATCCAGTCTCTTCTTTCCAAAATGATCACGATCATCGACATCGCGACGACCAAGAGCGCACTGAAGAAGTCTATGCACCATGTATCCCAAGAAAAAAGCTTTTCGCGTCTCACTACCTTCACTCTGCGAGATATGGGGAAGGAATTCCTTCTGGATGATATCTCTCGCATACCTAACTCGTTTCTCGTGGTTCATGCTTGTAGGGGAAGAACCTCGTTTACTAATGAAGTCAAGAGCTACTTCACGATCCTGGATAACGAAACCTTCCTCGATACATGGTTTGAGCATTTCCAACATTGGAGTATCATTCCGGTCATAGCAAATATGGTTGAGAATATCTTCGTCAGAAACCACACCCAAAGCGCGGAAAACAACAACTATGGGGATGTCCGTTTTGATATAAGGGAGCGTAGATCGGATCGTTGGGCCAAACCCACCCTTGGAGGTGTCTCCCTTACCGAAAAGTTTTATCGACAGTTGAGACAATATCCTGGATCCTTTCTCAACGGCACTTCGGATTTCTGCGATGTACGGCGTTGGGCTCGGAGGGGCTTTCTTAAATACTTGGACAATATTGCCGGCACTGCGCTCCTGGGCGATAAGAACTTTTTCACTACCGTTGATAATGAAGTATCCTCCGGAATCGTAAGGGCACTCATTCCAGTTATATAGGGACTGTTCATTCAGGTCCTTTAGAATGCAGTATTTCGACTTCAGCATAATCGGCATTCTCCCAATGAAAACGTTCTCTTCCTCTGGTTCGTCTTCGTTCAAAGCCTTTGGCTCCCAGTGCAAATATGTTCCTCTACTCCGTCTCTCCTCATCGTTATCCTCTTCCCCCTGCTCAGCATCATCGCGTTCGGCAATGAGTCGCTCCCGACCTTCCGTGACTCTCTTCGTAATCCCAAGGTAGAGAGGGCTGGCATATGTGAGGTTACGAAGTCGCGCTTCCTGCGGCAGCATAATACTAGTCGCGCCATCGCCCTCAGTCATCGACGGTCGCGCAAGCATGACCGTACCGAATTTTAACTCGTAGCGTCGCAAGACTACAGGATCTACCTCGTCCTCAGACGGGGCCAGTGTTTGATCAAGTGTAACCTGTCCTTGCTCCTCCACTAGCTCCTGCATAGTCGTCGAGATAAACTCATCGAAAGAATCGAGCTGCTGCGACACTAGCCCTTTCGACTCGAAAAAGGAGGAAATCACCGTCCAGCAGTCTTCTGACGTGATCCCTTCATCCTGCTCATAGTAGGCATCTTCTCCATATTCTTCCTCGTAATCCTCCATGCTGGGCAATATATCGAGAGGCAGTCGCGAGCGGAGATGCCCCAGAAGTTGAGGACTCCGAGCAGGTGATTTGGGGGCTCTTGCTATGCGGACAAAGCTCTATTCCATCAGCTCAAAGAATGGGTATTTCGCAAGGGCAAACTTCGGATACGTGTTGAAGCGAAACACTGGAGCCAAGCTCTACAGGGCGTATGAACAGACTGGTGGACTGGTGAAGTTGATAAAATTCACCAGCTTTGGTGGTCTGGGCGCGATCTCAAATCAAGCGCGGAGCCGCCACCGACCTTACCAAATATGTGCTAGCGTGGTTCCTGGAAAGATATCTATATCACGTGATGCAGGAATAGAACGGGCTCTACTGACTACTACAACTAGAATTACATTGATCGTTAAACTATATAAAATTGTATCATAAAAATTGCAGAAGCGTCCCAAACATCTCTTTTGTGTCTATCTCATCAGGCGATGGTTCATCGAGGCCGTTTAGTTGCTCTAGATTAATGGTAAGCTTTGCGACATACTGATTAGTTCGAGCGTTGTGTGTGATTTTTAACGTACCCTGCAAAGTGGCTTTGATAACACCCAAGTCTTCATCACGGTCTGAGAGCAGTGTCTTAATCTTCGACTTTGCTCCGTCATCTTCGGCCACCAGCCACGCTAGGATGACATCAATGGTCTGCTTTCATGCGAAACTGAAGGCAAATAAATATCAATCAGCAAATCATCCCTATCCAGACTATTTATTATTATAAGGCCGAATCAGGTAGAACTCACCCCTGCTGTGCCATACTCGAACACCTTGCCCTCAGGCTTGGTGTAGGCGGCTGCAGCATCGACAATGGCTTGTTTGACCATTGGAGACGCCATGGTGACTAGGGAATTGACGAATAAAGAAAGAATGATATGTTGAGGGCCACCGTGGATGGCAAGTGAGTGATGGGAAAAGGAGGGGCTATATATAAGACCAGCAACAGCGCGGATGAGGGGGATGCGGGCATTACTTAGTGAGTTCGTACTAGTTAGTAGCTTGCCAATCGTTGGTGGCCCTGGCCTGGTGGGTGGGTGGGAGTTGGTGATGGTGGTGGCTGACTTGCAGCGAACTGGCTGGCAGCTGAAGAAACCTTAAGGCTGCCAAGACTCGAAGGAGGGGGGAGAGTACGGAGTAAGTTTGCTGTGTTTGTCAGTCTGCAGGATCCGCCCAACTAAGAAATACACCAACAAAAAGGGACAAAGCAGGATGTATCTGGTGGACAGAAGCAGGATACGAGAACCAGCAAACATTCTTGAGGAGAAAGGGAGCAAATACAGTAACTGCCTGCATGTCTGGAGTTAAAAAAGGGATCACACATAATTTCCACCATTCATTGGCAATTAATAAGAGCAAAAGCAGAACTTTGATCAGCCTCCACCATTGGAGTGAATAAAACGTCCAAAAAATCGATAAATCCGAGACCCCGCTGGAAATATCTTCCAATATATCCTAAATATAAATATCTATGTATACCTCTTATTATTCCCAAACTGAATAGCTCTACAACGAAAATGGAACTCGAAAATATTTTAAGCCTTCAAGCGCTCTCCAGCAATGTCATCCTGAGCATCCCGGACAAGGAACCTAGTGTCGTAATAAACACAGCATTAGGGGGTTAAATGTATTCCTCGTTAAGTATTAGATTGGAGAAAGGGTTATTGCAAAACTCACGAATACCACCAGGCTGTAGGCACCACGGTTCCCAAATGCCATAGACTATGCGCATCAACCAGTCTATGAAAGGGTGGAAAATCCAACAGTTCCAGACTCATAGCCATGATAATCCACGCAACTATCATGCCAGGCCAGGCCGTCCACGATTTCATGTACTTCCGGTATCGCGAGACACTAAACCATGTCCATAACAAATTCTGCACAATCCCCACTGCAACATTCGCGGCCATGTTATACGTATAATTCCACGACCAGAAACTCAGGTACGAAACATGCGCAACGTACAATCCGGTGCAGACGAACGTCCAGTACCGGAGCAGCGTCGGCTTGTAACGGGGACGTGTCTGGTCGAGGCGGAATATTCGGACAACAGAGAGATATAAACCATACAGCACACTTGCGCCAGCACCATAGTAATCCAGCTTTTCAGTCAGGGGCAGATCGCGCGTATGGAATACCATGCTGAAGATCCAGCTAGCCAAGCCAAAGTATCCAAAGGCAAGGTAGAACCTACGCATCGGGTACGACCGCGGTATCGACTCTCGAACCCGCGAGATCCCCTGGTGATGCGCGAGGAGGTTCAGGAAGGAGAAGAGGACGGAGAACGGCTCCTGCATGCCTAGTATTCGGTAGAAGGGCCACTTTCCGTGGAATTGAACTACGGGTTCAAGCATTGGCGGGTCACGGTTGACACGGCGGTCCGTGATGATGTGTTGGCATGTGTAGTCGCATTCTGCTGGGCAGTCCCAGAGTAATAGGCGGAGATGTAAGGCTGTCAAAACAAAACGGGGTCAGCGTTAGAATGAGGGTCAAGTGTGAGTGTGTGTCTAAACAGCCTTTCCCTTACGTATAGATGACTTCCTGTTTTGGCAATTTTCAGTCTTGCATATCTACTTAAAACGATGACCGTTAACGGATTGTGATCTTTGTTTTTTTTTTGTCTCTGGTACTTCAGGTTCTTACCGTGACGCACTCCTTGAAATCCGGGAGCATATCCCCCAAAGACGCCGTGGACCTGCCAATTAAAAAATACCAAAATTGTAAATACAAGAAATCTCCAGTACAATGGCCCCCTACTCATCGTGGAAGCCATGGTTGTTGCGCGGACTCCTAGACTTGGGTTGCTGTTAGCAGGAGCTTCCCCCGAGGGCAGTCAACGGCCCGTATGACACGCCAAGCCTGAGATGAAATAATACTATGACAATATAGCATCCAAAACCCTTCGATTTGGCTTTCTGAAGGGAGAATCCTTCTGCCAAAAAAATTTTAAACAATAAGTAAACTCAAAGCACATAAACTCAAAATTACAAAAATTAAAAATTAAAATAAAAATAAAAATAAAAATAAAAATAAAATAAAAATAAAAATAAAAAAAAATATGGACAATGTGATAATCGAAATCACGACCTTTCGCATGCGGGGATGCAAAGCGAACGCTCTACCAGCTGAGCTAATTGCCCGGTAGTTGCTGGAAACCCAGCTCGTTCAGCCATAAAAGAGCCAGGAGCGAGGAGGCTAGGACTTAGCCGCGAAGCCTAGCCCTATCCAGAGCAGCCCAAACACTTCTGCCGGGCTAGCCTATTAAAGTCTAGTGTCCGCCTTCTTCTCCTTTGAAAATCTAAACCCAACCAAAGTCTCTGTATTTTTTTTCTTCTCTCTTCTCTAGGGCACTGAGTGAGTTTTCTTGCAAGGCTCGCCCCGACCATAAAAGGATTCCCTCTGCCTGATTTCCTGCTTTATATCCCTCTTCCTAAGGCTACTCTTTTCCCTCTTTTGAGTATTTTTATTGGTTTTTTTTCTTTTAATTCTATATATCCTGCTTCCGATATCATGAACGGAGCTTCGAATCAAATGGATATCACAGCCACCACCCCTCAGTTGCCGTCCAGCGCAGACAGGATGGCTGGCATGGACCACGCAGAGGTTCGCTATTTTACGAGGTAAAAGAATTTCCCATGCTGCATCCAATTTCCCCTTGAACACAATCTAATACATTATGTGCTAGTTACGATCACCATGGTAAATTGGCCTTTTATCACCTGCATCACCCCTCTTCTCGAATGAATAGCTGACAATAACCAATAACCACGAGATAGGCATTCATGAGGAGATGCTTGTAAGTTTGCATTAACCCCACTCAATGTATAATTATACGCAGCTATTCCTTCTCGGAAGCCAACGGAAAAAGCGAGAATACTGATTTTTTGTCGTTCCATTTATTTATAGAAAGACGATGTTCGCACAAGATCATACAGAGATGCCATTTACCAAAACCGTCATATTTTCAAAGATAAGGTAGTGCTTGATGTGGGATGCGGAACTGGGATTCTCAGCATGTAAGTCGTCGAAATAACGTTCAAAGTACTGGACATACTTTAGCACATATTCTAATACATCATATCTTTCCAGGTTTGCCGTTCGCGCGGGAGCCAAACATGTTATTGGTGTGGATATGTCCTCCATCATCGAAAAAGCTCGCCAAATCGTGGCAGTAAACGGCATGGCAGATAAGATCACGCTTCTCCAGGGCAAGATGGAAGAAGTACAGCTCCCCTTCCCAAAAGTCGATATCATTATATCTGAGTGGATGGGCTATTTCCTTCTCTACGAGTCCATGCTTGACACTGTTCTATATGCTCGCGACAACTATCTTGTCCCCGATGGCAAGATCTTCCCAGACAAGGCTACTGTCTACCTCGCTGCCATCGAGGATGGTGAATACAAAGATGACAAAATCGGATGTATGTGTTTGCCTCATAAGAGCTGAACTGAATTTCATTCACAGACAATACTAACCAGTTTCGGATAGTTTGGGACAATGTCTGGGGCTTCAATTACTCCCCTATGAAAGACGTCGCCCTTACTGAACCTCTAGTCGACACAGTCGAGCTGAAAGCCCTGGTCACCGACCCATGCCCCGTCCTCACCATCGATTTATACACAGTCACCACTGCCGACCTCGCATTCACTGTCCCTTTCAGACTCACGGCGAAACGCAATGATTTCATCCATGCCATAATCGCTTGGTTTGATATCGACTTCACTGCCTGCCACAAAAAGATTCGATTCTCCACAGGCCCCCATGCGAAATACACCCACTGGAAGCAGACCGTGTTCTACATTCGCGAAGTGCTCACCATTGAGGAAAATGAATCTGTTACTGGATTCCTGGAAAACAAACCGAACGAAAAAAATAAGCGGGATCTCGATATCAAGATCTCGTACACCTTCGAGACGGAAGATGAGACGCGCGCTGCACAGGGCAGCTGTGAGTATAAAATGTACGGCACCCCTTTTCTTTCTCTCCCGTCCCTAAACAATGTAAAAAATTGAGAGAAAAGTAAGATACTAATCCCGGTCTCAGGTGTTAAAATGCATACAAAATACTTGCCTATAAAGTTTCATGGACCAAATTTTCTTCTTTGTTTTATTTTTCTTTGTTTTCGTTGGTTACTCTTCCGCTTTCCCTCTTTCTCCTTTTTTCTTATCCACCATAGCCTTGGAAGTGAAGTGGGATTGCATCACCAAAATGCAGCGTAACGCCCACTTGCGTGCGTTTATCTCTGATCAGGCAAGAAACGTCAACTTTATAGGAAAAAAGCGAGGTAGAAAGGAGCCAAAGAGAAAGGGGCTGCAGGCGTTGGGGGAAATGGCATAATGTGGCGTCCGATTATATGGAACAAATGATATATAGGATATGATTTCTAAAGCTCCTCGGTTTTTTAGAGATACCCCGAGTTGATGCTTAATCTTACGGCTTCATTCAGCACTTATTTTTTGTAGACACCCTTGTTGGGAATATGCATTTAATCAATAAATTTGTTGCCCTTTCGTAGTTGTGACGGTTTCCAGTTAACAAGAATAACCGACGCCTCGTACCCGTTTGCCAAATTGCCACAGAGACGCAGCAACTCCACAACCTCGGCATAACCTTTGAGCCACGGCTGCTGCAAGAGCTTATTGCTCACCTCCCCCGCAGAAAACAACCACCTCTTAAATGGCCTTTATGGAGCTCGTTTTACTCTCTCCTCTTTAATTGAATTTACTGATTCTTATATATCGCAATTTCAACAGCCATTGACTTATTTGTCACCTAAACTTTTTCTATTATTCCAATCAAATATCGATATCTCTAGCAAAATGAGCGGACCAGGAGTCGGCCACCAGTTCCCCAGCCAGGATGTGAGCTGGACTAAGAGGGATGTGCTCCTCTTTGCAAACAGCATTGGAGCAAAAGCCGACGAGCTTCATTTCCTTTATGTATGTTTGTCAATATATTATACTTCTCGTTGGAATCAAGAATGGAAAGAAAAAGGCGTTTGAAGGCCAATTCTATTTTTTTTTGGTTAACATCTTTCAATTTAGGAATTGCACCCCAACTTCACCGTATTCCCAACATACCCAATTATTCTCCGTATGTCCCAAATTAAATTAAAGAAAAGAAAAGAAAGAAAAGCCACGAGAAGTCAAAACGCTGGAATTAGAAGTATATACTAATATACCCTATGGCCTACAGCATTCAAACTCACAAACCAAGAAGTAACCGACTTCTACTCCCAAAAATCCGGAAGCGCCATCCCAGGCGTGCCCACATTCGACAGCCGCCGGGTCGTCGATGGACAGCGTAAAATGACCTTCCTCAAGCCCCTGCCTGTCTCCAGTGAAGGACGCAAGTTCGAACTGCGAAGTTCAGTTGTTGGCGTCTATGACAAGGGCAAGGCAGGTTCGGTTGTTGAGACGGAGCAACAGATTGTCGATAAAGAGACCGGGGAGATCTATACCAAGGCTGTTGGGAGCGGATTTTTTGTTGGTCAGGGGAATTGGGGCGGACCAAAAGGTGATTAAAATAAATTGAAACCCTTACCCTCTTTTTGTTTTGTTTTTTGTCCGGTTTGTATATGTGCAACTCATAAACTGACGGGTAATAATTCATTTCTTTTTTGTCCACCGCATATAGGTCCTGCTACGGTAAACTACCCCCCTCCACAGGGAAAGAATCCAGATGTCGTCTACGAGTTCCAGACAGATGCGAACACTCCTTTGCTCTACCGGTATGTTCAGCCATTTCACTCCAAATATGTCTCTTTGGACAAGACCCTACAAATACCTATTGTCAATTGCCAACTAAAATATATCCTCTGCCTACAGTTTGAATGGAGACTATAACCCTCTCCACGCAACACCCGAGCCAGGACAGAAAATGGGCTTCGGTGGTGTCATTATCCACGGCCTGTTCAGCTGGAACATGGCAGCGCACGCAATCCTGAAGACCTTGGGCGGTAGCGATCCGAAAAACATCAAGGAGTTCCAGGCGCGATTTGCCTCCCCGGTCATTCCTGGTGTTAAGTTGATCACCCAGATCTGGAGGACAGGGAAATCCGAAGGTGGATTCGAGGAGGTGGTGTTTGTCGTTAAGAACGGGGAGGGCAAGGTTGTGTTGAGCAATGGTCGGGCATTGGTCAATGTCGTTGGTGGGAAGAGCAAGCTCTAAATCCGGAATTGTTTGTTACTCAATCTCAGGTCTTTCCTCTGATACTAATAGTATCTAAACAATTTGCGGCTTTCCCAATGTAGTAAATATCATTCGGTTCAGCCGACAGCGTTGAGCTAGGTCGGGTGCGACGGTAGATATATATACTTCAACGCACTGTACATATTTTCATAAACGAGAAACTAATTTTCTTTGGAATCTTAATACATAAATATTTCGGCTTCGTCACTCTTCCTGTTATCCCAAACTTTCCCGCCTAAATGTGGAGGTCATTGTGATGTCGAGCTAAATAAAAGTACGGAGTACTCTGGGCTAAATAAATACTGCTATGTGCAGCCTCGGCAAATAGAGAACACCGCTCCAAATCACAATCTGTAACCATTCAAAGTACTGGTAGAGTTGCACAATCAATTACCATACACAAGCCATCATTGGTGGAACGCCATATGTCATAGCCATGAGCTCTTCCTCTTTCGCGCCTATCAAAAGAGCCGCCCAGTGAGATCTCCTCTAGATCCCCAAACCTTTCCCCGTAGCAGATTAAGAAAATTAACTTTAGAAGGTTCAGGGCTCCACGCCGCAACCTTTTATATCAAACAGTGAGAAGACAACTGGTGAGTATTCACATCCTACATGCTCCATGCCTGTAGTCACCTGTTACCGCGCCTCGGCCAATAGGAGGATGGCTATTAAACACTGCATTTGATGCTGATACTCCTTCCCAGGGACTGGCATCCTGGTCTGCTAGCGGAACTCGTCCCTATGTTCTGAACTACTATTCTAGAAGAATTTATTCTCGTGACGGGTCTTCTACATTTTCGTCCCTTGCCGTCAACTATCAATCGGCGGGGTTCGCTGGAGCTGCTAAGCACTCCAACGCTGGGAACAAACGGGGTTATGTTTCTGTCTCCGTTAACCTTCCTGGCGGAGTTACAGGCAAGTGGTAAGTTGGTCAAAATTCTTTGTTAT